TATGTGACCGCCACCACATTTTGGCGTTCCCTTGAAACTGATAAGTCACAAACTCCACACCAAACCGTTCTACTATACCCATCTTGTGTAGTAGCTCGTGACAGTCAACTAGAAAATCATAAGCATCCTTCGATTCAGCACCCTTGAAGACTGGAGGTTTCAATTTCAAGAACTTACTGAAAAGTTCATGCTGATCACTTGTCATTATAGGCCCAGTAGTCAGACGTGGAAATGTGTCTATGTCCAATGGAACATCCATGCGGGGAGCCATAGTAGCCGCACGTTGTACTTCTGAAACCGGAGGTGTTGGCGCAGAAAACACTGGAGGTGCCTGACCTTGATCAGATAACCCGCTAAGATAAGCCAGAACCTGATTGATCATCTCTGGGGTAGGTTGGGGTGGCATTTCCTCATTTTGCACTTGTTCAGTTTCCCCATCCTCCCCTTCTCTTATTACTTCCTCAGTCGGTGGAGGAGTCACTTCCCTAGTATCAGATGGGCTAGGTGTTCGTCCTCTTCCCCTAGAAGACGTCCTCCCACGACCTCTTCCACGACCCCTCGCCGCTGTTCTTCCTCGAGCCACAGCCCCAGTGGCTGGCTCAGTTGTTTCTTGTCTGGCCGGTGTTGGTGTTGACGTAGTCGTTGCTCTAGTTCTAACCATCTGCGAAAGAGAGTGAAGATGGTCAGATACCAATTCGTATCGCCTGGATACCAATTGGACTCAAGTAGTAGCACGAAAGAAAGAATGAAAGAGTGAAATTTTCCTAAAGTCTTATAGCCTCTCAAGGAAAGGTAAAGGCGTCCCCTTACCGTTCCTTAAGACTCTACTAGACCTGTTCTTGTGTGATGAGACCAACGAACCTAAGGCTCTGATACCAAGTTTGTCACGACCCAAATCCGGGCCGCGACTGGCACCCACACTTACCCTCCTATGTGAGCGAACCAACCAATCTAAACCTTAACATTTTAATATAATATAAACAGAAAGTAATGCGGAAGACTTAAACTCATAAATAATCAACTTCTATAACTCAAAAACTTATCATTATCCCCAAAATCTGGAAGTCATCATCACAAGAATATCTACCTTTAAATTACTAAACTAAGAGTATCTAAAAAGCTAAAAATACATAAGAAGCTAGTCCATGCCGGAAGTTCAAGGCATCAAGACATGAAGGAGAAGATCCAGTCCAAGCTAGAAGCGTTAGCTCACCCTGAAGATCCGGTGTGGCGAAGACTGGCTTGAGTTACTGTTGAGTCGAAGATGACGGCACATTTGCTGCACTCCACAAATAACAAGAAGAAAAACATAAAAGTAGGGGTCAGTACAAAACACGGGTACTGAGTAGATATCATCGGCCAACTCAAAATAGAAAACAGTATGTATTAAGCAATATCATAAAATCAACTAATATCCTTAGCATGCAGCATTTACAGTTACCATAACCCTTGGTTACAACACCAAGCACATCAATGAGGACTCACACCTCCTCATCATACTCATTTGGGAATTTAGTTCATTAGATTGGATATATTAACATATTTCAAGATTCATTATCTTTATTCCCCTCGTGTCGGTACGTGACACTCCGCTCCTCAATATACTATCCTGGTGTCGGAATGTGACACTCTGATCCTCATTCTATCCTGGTACCGGAACGTGGCACCCGATCCATATTCTATCCTGGTACCAGAACGTGGCACCCGATCCATATACTATCCTGGTGTCGGAACGTGACACTCCGATCCTCATATACTATCCTGGTATCGGAACGTGGCACCCGATCCATATTCTATCCTGGTGTCGGAACGTGACACTCCGATCCTCATATACTATCCTGGTACCGGAACGTGGCACCCGATCCATATTCTATCCTGGTGTCGGAACGTGACACTCCGATCCTCATATACTATCCTGGTACTGGAACGTGGCACCCGATCCCCTAATCTCACTACTTTCATTCATCAAGCCTTCTTTTATACCAAGGCATCATCATTAACAAAGTAGATTAGGGTTTCTTTTCAAGATTTGGGATTCAATAGCTTCATCATACTTTTTTATTCACAATTACATAATCACATCATTCATGCAAGCATACAATTAAGCATATAGAAGGTTTACAATACTACTAACACATATCATTCGCTATTAAGAGTTTACTACGAATAGCATGAAAACCATAACCTACCTCCACCGAAGAATTGGAATCAACAAGCAATTTCCCAAGCTTTGATATTCCCTCTGCCTCTTGATCGATCAATTTCTCTCTCTCCTTGTTCTCTCTATTTTCTTTATTCAAACCCTCTTTCTTTTACCCTAGTTAACATATAATTAAGTGTAAAAGATGGCAATAATACCCCACTAATTAACTTAGGGTTACCTCTTTTAACCCGCAAGAATTTGAGTTATTAATATAAACCCACAAAATCTATAATTAAGGAAGGAATAGTCCAAAAACGTTCCTTAAAACGTGTAAGGAAATCCGATTCTGCCTGGGATTTGCGCAACCTGTGACGGGCCATCGTGCCTGCGACGGTCCGTCCTGCAGGTCGTCGCAGAGTTCAGAGACCCAAATTTCCACCAAGGGTCTGTGACGGTCCGTCACACCTGTGACGGTCCGTCCTGCCATTCCGTCACAAAGTTCAGAGAGTCGATTTTTAGTACCCAATTTCAGATTTTTTAAGTGTTTTGAAACGAGACCCTGCGACGGTCCGTCGTGCCCTTGACGGTCCGTCGTGGGGTCCGTCGCTTCTGCCAGTTTTTCCAGAATTGAAGTCTGTTGCTCAAAACGACTAAACAGGTCGTTACAAAAATACAGAAATTAAAATGAAGTATAGTTAGTTAATTACCATCAAAATTCAACATCACTCAGCTAACACAGGTATGGAGTATCATGTTAGAAGCTGGTTAGCATCAAAACCTTCATTACACAAAAATGCACAACAAATACCTTTTGCCTATTAATAGAAGAACTTCATTGATTTTTGCATATATATATATATATATATTGAAAACAGCGAAAAATTCATACCCAAAGGAAACAAGATTATAATATGAACATCAACATTCAGCTTGACGATTTTAGACCTTCATATTGGAAATTTGGATGATGTCCCCGGTGTGCAGCGTCATTGGAATCATCTGTACAAGTTGGCATGCCCTAGAAACCGTAAGTACAACTCTCAGATCAGACAACAGATACGATAATACGTTCAGTAAAACATCTGATATCAAGGTTAACAAGTGCCAGAAGGAATGCTCCATCTCTTTCTTTCAACATTCGGCACATTAGAACACATCTGATTTGAATCCAAGAAGAGAGTTGCTTTGCTGAGCTTGCCGCAACTGTGTTTTTAAAGCATAATTGTTCATCTGTGAAATGACAATGAAATCAGAAAATCAAGAGTGGAGGAACTTATATCTTCTTCAATTCCCTAAAACTCAAATGTACCTTCTTTTTTTTACATCAACGTTGCATAATCGTCAATCTGAAACATTTTTCTAGTAGAACGAAGATTACAGACAGTTTGATGTGAAGACATAAAAGTTGCCATGAAACAATAGCAAATAGTATTATCAGATGATAAAAATTCGAGCAAACGGGTATTAAGATATATTCTCTTAACATTTCTGAACTTAATCCTTGATATCTTTCATTTTTTGTCCAGTGTTGAGTAAAAACTACACAAAGACATTTCATTGATCTACTAGACCTAAATCCTAAAATAGTTAGTGATAACATCTATGTAGCTTTTCATCCTTTCTCTTAAAGGCGTTTGATATTAATTTTGATTATTCTGAAAATATACTCGGGTAATTAAGAGGTTTATCCCTCTATCAGTTGTTAGGTTATTTGTTGTTAGCCATATGCCCATATTGGAAGTTACATTTCCAACTTTAATAGCATCGATGCGACGACTGAATTTACTTGGGTTCTTTTTTGTTAACAATATGGAGGTTAAGTTTCCAATATTAATAGCAATCATGCTAACGTTTTTACTCATTCTTACAGAATTAGGCAAGGGTACCAAAGTTGCACTTGAGCCAAGTGTCTTTCAGAAAAATCTCTCTAGTGTATACTCTACCCTCCCCAAACACCACTTGTGGGATTTCACTTGGTATGTTGTTGTTGTTGGCAAGGGTATCAACGCTCTTTTCAAAGTGCCACGTTTCAGCAACATTCTCTTCCTTCCAATTACTGTCAACCTCTCTCTGTCACATTGAAAGTACTGCTTCCCTTATTGATCCAAGGAATGTCACACTGATAAACTTAATTTAGCTATACAATTTCCTTTGATAATTCAATACGTACCCGTTTATCCTAGAAAGGTCTGCTTAAGAAAACAATTCTAGAGTGCACATGTATATTGTTTAATCAACTACTAATTTTAACATGAATATTACCAAAAGGATTTGGACAAGCAAATACACCAAGAAGAGTAATCAGGCCTTCCATTGGTGAAGCAGATAGGCAAAGAATCTCAAAGTATGGTGATAATATAAAGTTCATAGCAATTTGTCGTAAGTCATGGCTAGAATGAGGAATTTATGAAGGTAGAACATTCACCTCAAGAGTTCTTAATTGCTCTTTACCCTGAGCAATCAGTTGTTTTAATTGCTGCACTTCCTGGCTCCTTTCATCATACTCTTTCTGACGTTCATGTTGAATGACCACTGCCCTCTTGAGAATGGCATCATCTTTACGCTTTCAACATTATATTTTCCTGCTAATTGATGAATAGTCAACACCCAAAGGAACAAATAAATGGAAGTAAATAAACCAGCCGGTCAAATTGTAGCAATTCTCACGAGCTAAAGCACCACAACCTTGCATTGTTGCTGATAAAATCAGGTAAACGTGTCTTGGAATGTATAGAGAACATTACTAACTATTCTCTTACCTAAGATATAGTAGTTATACCCAAAAAATTGTGATCGTGTTCTCCTGACCCTAATTCTTGGCAAGAAATTCATTTCCTAGACACCTAGAACTCATGGATTAAAATGGAAAACATGCATTAAAAGTACCAACCTTGTGAAAATTTTGAGCTGCCTCAGCACCTGCACGTGAGCTAATGCATTTCTCTAAGCTCTCCAACAGTCTAGTAGCTCGATCCCTGGCATCATCTATGCTTGTAGCAGTCATCATTTCCCGCACAAAACAATCCACCCATTCTACACCATTGGCAGGAAAATTGTTTTCAGCTGAAGGATCTTCTGACTGAGCAGCCGGCTCAGTGGTAGGCTTCATACCTGTTGATTTTTTATGAAAATAAGAATCTTTCAATTGAAAATATTTGGAAATCACCTTCCTCATTAATCAAGGATTAACATAATGATACTACAACATGCCCCCCCCCCCCAAAATCCCACCAAGAGAAACACAAATGTAAAATTTCAACTTCCTAACTGTAAATTTGAGAAGTGTTAAGTTAGATAGCTATAAACCAAAGACAGACAAACACTAGTTAACTTTAATATGTAGATGTATACAAAGATTATATGCACGTGAATGGACAGTTTTCATACACATGCAAATGACCTTCAGATTAAAAGGTGTCAAGTGGTGGATAGTGTCAACCTTGGACAAATTAAAACAGTTGAGTCAATAAACATGCCACCCAACGTCTGATTAGGTCAAGATGAATTGATAGACCGGACATAACCAAAACTACCAAGCTCAAGTTCGAGGTTGGACAGGTTAAAATTTTACGAGCTAAAACTGAAAACTCCAAGGTGTCAAATAAATTGGTCGAGTTAAATTTAGGGGTTAAAGCAGGTCGAAATTACTATACATGTTACACTCGAACCCGCCCTATTGTTGACTTGGTCAATTTGGATTGGCATCATATCACAACCAGCCGTATTACGTTTTTGATGGGTTGCACTTTTATGGACCAAATTTAACACCTCAAACTCGTGAACTTATCTGTAACAAATGATAATTTCCAATTACAAGATTCAGTATCTGTTGTTGACCAACTGGATGAGCACCACCACATCCTTCCAAAAAATCTGTAAGTAGTGTCTTCTTTGCGGGGTCTGTGTGGGCAATTTGAGATCCTTAATAAGTATGACAGCAAACAGTCCTACATGCCACTGATATATTCATCAACTGGATATATATCTTTTCGTTCCTTAATAATGGCACATATTTCTGTCATTGACGATAAATTATACTTCTCACAGACCAATTTTGCATTTATATGATACTTAAAAAAATATATATGCACACACATATACACTTGTGTTGCACCTAGTAACTATTAAAAAAAATCTTTTGAACATCACTTCACCAGCAACCTGATGAAGGGATTATGTGATTACACGTACCATTTTCGATCTCTTCTGTATCCAACTTTCCATCTGAAAATCCGATGCGTAGCTCATGCAGACTCCTAATAGCAGCATCCAGGTCATTGCCAGATTCTCCCAATGCTTTCTCAAGTAGCTAAACAGTAATGAAAGCGAAAAAATTATTTGGTGACTCGTTAGACAAAATTGAAAATACACCACAAGGTGTTTAACAGACTAAGTAATCAAATAAATCTCTATACTTGTATGTTATAAGAATGGAATATTCGTTATTCTTACTACTTCTCATGCAGGAACCTTTTTGAAGATTCAAAAGCATTTAAAATTCATAGGAAAAGCAGGTTAAAACTGCATACGCAACAAAAAGAGGATATCTTTTTCTTAGGGTAGCCCGGTGCACTAAAGCTCCCTCTATGCGCAGGGTAAGGACTCGACCACAAGAGCCTATTGCACGCATCCTCACTTTGCAAAAATGCAAGAGAGCTATTTCCAAAGCTTGAACTTGTAACCTCCTGGTCACATGGAGACAACTTTACAAGCTACTCCAAGGCTCCCTTCCCTTCAGTTACATAGTGTATACTTAATACTAATATACATAGTTCTACATACTAATACATACTATCTAACTAGTGCCCATTTGGATTTACTTTTATTTTCGATGTTCTTAAGCAGTTTTGAAGTATTTGGGTAAAATGCATTTTTATGCTTATAAACACTTACTTTAAAGACAAAATAACAAAAATAAGCCAAAAATCACAAATTAAAAATCTGGCTTTTGAACAGACCCATAGTCATACATACGAATACCCAATTTCGCTAAACTAGATGGCTATATATTAGCATATTCTACAGCTACTACGTCAACAATTGAATCTCCAGTTACTAGAACCATGACGGACCAAGTGAAATTTATAAATAGATATGAAAGAAAAGAACAATACCTGAGTATGAATTTCTGGAAATAAAGCTCTCAGCTGATCGAAAAGAATTGAATAGGTGCTGAAGCAAGAAGAACGAAGCTTATTTGAAACCGGAGATGATGCTGAAATCGGCGGTGGTGATTGTAAATCTTCGAAGAGGGATCTCTTGCGGTAAATAATTGCAGCCATTGATTAATCTCCCTTACAGTGATTGAGAGATTGATTGTTTGATCGGAGATTTGAGGAGTAGGGCGGTAGGTTTAGGGGATTTGAAACTTTTCTTGAGCGGTACGCCGCCTGGAGGAGGTGAGTCCATTTATATAACAAGGATTTTGTGGACTGTTCAAAGCGGTAAACGTTGGCAAAAGGGATTTTAAAAAATGATACGTAAATATGTATTAAACTTATTTCAAATAATATTTATGTTTTTTAATTTTGGGTTCTTACAAATAAATATTTAAATTTATATAAAGTTAAATAAATATATGGAAAAGGGCCTAAAATACCTTCAAAATATTAGAAATAGAACAAAATTACCCTTGATCCACCTATTGGCTCCAAAAATACCCTTTCCACCCACTTATTGGATCCAAAATATCCTTCATCTACCTATTGGTTCAAAATAGACCACTTATTTAACGATTTTATGTTTAAACTATTTAAATATTTTTTAAAATACGTGGTGCTCAACTACTCGTTATAATTTAATTTGTTAGTATAATTTATAAATCAATCTATTACCCACCCAAAACTAATTAAACCCCTCCAACTTAATAAACTCGTCACATTATTAATGCAACAAAAGAAAATCTACTGCCAATTGAGTGTTTTTAAAAATTTGAGGCAAAAATATCTACAGAAGTAAATTATCATATATTCAAGTGTCTAAATAAAAATTATCGATAAACTTTAAAGTCAGACTATGTTCATCTTAATTATTCTTACGTCTCAATTATGTGATGTTACTTCATAGGTAACTTTTTTTCAAAATAATATATTAAAGGTTTTAAAACAAATCATAAGTATTTATAAAATTATATTTTTAAAAAGTGCATAAATTAATTCGGAATGTATTACTTCTTTACCTTTAATCATAAATTTCTAAATTCAATCAATCCTATTGAAAGTGTCCTCCTAAATAAACGGCTCAATCTAAATTTAATTAGATCTTCGATTCGGACTAGAATAATTTTAGATGTCATTTTCAGGAATATATAATTTCATTGTGCTTTAGTAGTGTTTATGACGATTTTTATATTATAGTTGGATTATTACTTGGATGGAGTTTAGTTATTAATGAGTGGGTAGTGGGTTGGTTTATAAATTATATTAATAAATTAAATTATAACCAAAAGTTGAACGCCAAGTATTTTAAAAAGTTTTTAAAGAATTTAATTTTGAAACAATTAAAGAAGTGGTCAATTTTGAATCCAAAAGTGGATGACAAGGGTATTTTGGACTCAATAGGTGTATGAAAAGGGCGTTTTGGAACCAATAAGTGGATGAAGGTAATTTTGTACCATTTTCAATACTTCAAGGGTATTTTAGACCTTTTTCCGATAAATATATACACATATCCTTCATGATATTTTATATGTAATTTTTTATCTTACGTGGTGTCGTACTTGTATTGTGTCACGTAGGATTCATGTATCTATTTATTCAAGTTTATACGAATTTAAGTGTCTACTTATGCATGTTGAAAGTCGAAGGGCATAAATGTGAAACGAGACTAAGTTAAATAACACATTTATGCATGACATAATACATAAATATGCCCTTTAACTTGGTCTCATTTCACATTTATGTCCTCAAACTTTGAGTGTGCCTAAATAGACACTTAAACTTGTAAAAAATTGAACAAATAGCAACCAACGTTTTACCTGGCACCCTACGTGGAAATATGTGTGCTACGTAGTATCCTATATGTATTGTGACACGTAGGACTCGTGTATCTATTTGTTTAACTTTATACAAATTTAATTATCTATTTGTACACACTCAAAGTTGGTAGACATAAATGAAAAATGAGTTTAAGTTAAAAGATATATTTATGTATTATGCCTTTTCAAAAATATGTAAATGTTGTCAAGAAAGATGTAGAGGAATCCAATCCACTGGTGGGATGATTACGAGCCCGTTTGGATTGACTTAAAAATCAATTAAATCTATTACTTCTGGAAGTGTTTGACAAATATAAAAAATAGGTTTAAAATGACTTAAAATAAGTTTTTAAGTGTTTGACAAGATGAAAAATAACTTAAAATAAGTCAGAAACCAAAAATAAATCTTCCCTTATTTTTTATTTTTAACTCAAAAGCTACTCTTTTTTAAGCCAATCCAAACGAGAACTACTTCTAAATTGTAATAATAAAAGAATATAAGAAAAAATGGAGTACTGACTCCATCATTTGGGATGGATTAACCTAGAAAATAATTGGAAATGAGAGGTTACATTCTCTTTGTAATTAAAAAAAAATCTTAATTCCAACTAGTTCTGTAGTGTCAACTTCATTAGTAACGTCGTTAAAATTAAATTCAAAACTTGGAACAAATATTTACAATTGTCATTCAAGTTGTTGCTCAAAAAATCTGAAAATTAAAGTAGTCATACTCTTATTTAATACTACACATAAAATATAAATATATTCTTTAACTTAACTTCAACTTACATTTATATCCTCTTACTTTAGATATACACAAGTATACACTAATTTAAATAAAGTTGAAGAAATAGATAGTACATGAATCTTATGTGGTGTCCTATGTGTATTGTGACTCATGTGTGTACTTGTTCAACTCTATACAAGTTAAAATGTCTATTTGTGTCTTGTGCACATCCAAAATTAAAGTTTATAATCAAATTAAAAAGTACATTTATGTATTATATATGCTTAGTTACATTTAAAAACAGAAAGGGAAAAAAAAGCACTGTACCAAAATCTGTAAACAACTACTCACAACAGACAAACTAGAACAAAAACTAAAGCTGACCAAAGGAAGCATCCAAGAGACGATAATAATTTGTTGCTATTTGATCTGTTGAGTGTTGAAATGTGTTGTACTGTTTTTATTGGCACTGTTTTAGAGTCCCCACAATGTCCGATCCCTGAATCCAACAATGTCTCTAAATCATCTCCAAGCCCATTTTCTTTGTTGTAACAAAGCCCATCATTATTTGAAAGCTTCATTTTCCTTCTCATTCTCCAAACCATGTCTCTTTTAAATGGAATAGGACCACTCAACATGTTATTATTTAGCCTAAGCTCACTTATGTTTCTTAAATTACCAAAACTCGATGGGATCGAGCTATTTAACTTGTTCCCGTCGAGATGGAGGACTCGTAGCTTAGGTAATCGGCCTAGTGAATTTGGCATTGGCCCTTGAAGATTCATGTTTGATAACCCTAAAATCATTAAGCTGTTGAAACCATCGAATGTGTTGTCCGGTAGAGTAGCTGAGTCCATTGGATTTCCATTCAGGACTAAGGTCTGTAGAGAATTCAATTTCTTGAGCGACATTGGGAATGGGCTTGTTAGGCTATTGTAGCTTAAATCCAAAAGGATGAGATTGTTTAAGTGGTGGATCGAGTCAGGTATTGAACCAGAGAGGCGATTACGGCTTAGGTCAAGCTTTATAAGCGAATGACAGCTCATGAGTGTGGATGGAATTGAACTCGTAAGGTGATTTTGGTTGAGGTCCAAGATATTCAACTGAGGGAAAGTTAAACTCGGAATAGAACCGGTTAGTTTGTTGTCACTCAAATCTAATGACCTCAAACCGGTGATCCGACCCAGAGAGATGGGTATTGAACCATCAAGATTGTTTTTGTGAAGATCCAGAACTCTCAAACGGGTTAGGTTACCCAGTTCATTAGGAATGGGCCCTGTGAACCCATTTTCCCTTAACACTAGTGTTTGCAAAGTGGGCCGTAATTGGGCTAAAAATCCTGGAATGGGCTGAGGATTGTTACTAAAGCAACGATAGAAGAACAAAATCCGAAGGTGCGGAAGTTTTCTAACCGAAGGTGAAATGAAGGAATGAGTCGAGTCGCACGTAGGAAACGCTGTGTCATCGGACAATGCACCGAAGGAAAGTGAGACAACGTGGTACACATTGTCATTATCCGGCATGCACTCAATACCATGCCATCGACCACGACAAACATCAGGGATATCGATGGCCCAATCGTTCCCCGTAGCCCTCATAATGTCGTAAACGGCTTCTTGCTCACGAGGATCGGTTCGTGCACGATTGTTATTCATCGAGAAGCCGGTTTGTGGAGCATCGACTAGAGCACCGGAGTCCGACATTATGACGGTGAATGACAACCCTAGAGGAAAGAAGAAAAAAGATAGTAGTAGTAGAGGTATTTGTATTGAGAGAAAAAGGGCCATTTTTGGAATATGAATGAAGTGACAAACTTGGTTGTATTTTTAGGGGGTGTTTTATAACACAAATATTTATGACAATGACCAGGTTGGGGAGTGTGACAAGTGAATGAAAATGGGTGGGTGCATAAATTAAAGTAGGATAATAATGTATTCACGAGTATGAGGAGGAGATGAAATAAATGCATGAGTTTATGTGGTTAATGAACATTTATTACTATCACGGGGTTTGAGCCTCAGTTAATTTAGGCCCACATACAAGTAGGCTTGCTTGGGCTCCATTAAAGAATCAGATTTTGGGCCGAACCCTCAACTCAAAATGACGTGTGGTAAGTGCGTATAAAATTGAATAAAAAATTGAATTTTAACTATATAAAAAAAAAGAATTCGATATTATAAAATGATTTTAAAATTTTATTTTATACATAAATTATTTATTTTGATATAATTTTTAAATATTTTTTTATACTTTTTCATAGTTTTTAATCTTTTAATATATTATTTTAAATTTAAAACTTAGAATTTTGGATGGTATAGTCGATATTGGTAATTATACTAAAACTTAAATCAAAATCAAATTAATAATAATCAAAAGAGAAAAACAATTTAACCTAAGAATGACAATAATATAGAATATTTGTTCTTTGATTTTACATTGGTTAGATAATTTAAATACATAATCTAATTTTTATTTCCTTTAATATTTAGCCATGTAACTAATACTTATTAAACTTATTTTAACATGATTTAGTACTTTTAAATTATGATCATTTTCATTATGACTTGTCGATTTGTAATTTTTTACGCGATTTCATTATATATATATATGTTTGGATATTTTAGTGTCATTAATCATATCATTATTTGTGTTATATTCTTAAGAAACATCTTAGATAGTTGTATTTTTGTTTGAGTTGAAGAAACATTTGACATGCAAAATAAATTATATGTTTGAATTAATATTTTAGCGGAAAACCCGAAAAAACCCGAATGATTCAAAAAACCCGAAAAAATCCAAAGTATAAAAACTCGTATTTTATTGGTTTGGTTTGGTTCATATATTTAAAAATTCCATACAAATGATTTGATTTAATATTTAAAAAATTCATACCAACCTAACCATATGCACACTTAACGCCTGGTGTTTCTAAAAGTGTTTGATCTTAAATTTTGATCTTTGCTTAATAGATTTTTTAGAAAATATTTTTAATTTAAAATAATTGGCTAGGAAGATTTTATGTTGCTTATATTATAAATAAATTATAGCTTTTGCTTATAAAAAAGAATTTGTAATTGATTGAGCAGGTTCACTGTCTTAAAATATCTTAAATTTTCGAGAGACAACTAATTTATGTCCACAACAACTTCCCCAAACATTGTCTAGTGGATATCTTTTTCAAGCGAAGACTATTTATATTAAATCCGTTAAGCATGATTAAAAAAATAAATAATCAAGACCATTCTTTTTTAACGCCATTTGTGAACTTAATCCCTTGTCAAGTCATTCATACAAATGCTGGTTATTCAATTTTTTATATTTAAATTTTATTTTACGACATTTTAAGTTTATGTCGAGTAATTTAGGTCTAAATAAATGAATAACATGGTCAATAAATTTCCGTTAAATAAGCTGTATAAACAAAAATTAAAGACCATATATTTTTAAAATAAATGTTATAGACCACTCTAAAATAAAACTTCAAAGAATGATATAGAGTCTATAAGATTTGAAAATTAGAATTAGTCTCAAGTTTCGAGAGATGAATCGCCTCTATTTTTTTAAAAGAATAAAAGAAAAGACTAACTTTTTTTTTGTTTTGTCCGTAGAACTTGTCAAGTTTAACTCAATATCCTAAATTGTTTTTAAAAAAAAAAAGAAAAAGAAGAAGAGAACAAGTGATTTTGAGAAAAAAAAAATCTAATTATTGGATTGTTTTAAGATTTACCTTAAATGTTTATACTCTATGTATAAAAAGGGGAAAACTATCAAAATACTTTTAATTTTTTTCAAATACACAACTTATTTTATCATATTTTTAAAATTTTTATAATATTTGAACAAATTACAAAAATCTTACTCTCTCCTATTCTCAGATACATCACTTTACGCGATATATTGAAACATACGCTGAATGATGTACTGGAAACTGAGGCGATGGATCAGGATGTATCCGAAATCGGAACGCGTTGTATCAGAACATTTTGGAATGTACCATACTCTCTCATTTTCTCGGATACATCACTTACACGATGTATCGTTCGATACATTATTTTACGCGATGTATCAGTTGGATATATCACTCTACATTATGTATCGGGACGTACACGATGTATCAGGACATTGAGTGATGTATAACAAAGACGCATGTATCGGGACATTAAGTGATGTATTCGAAACACAAACGCGATGTATCGGGACATTGACTAACAAATCCGAAATGGAAACGTGATGTATCGGGACGTTGAAGGATGTATTCAAAACCGAAACGTGATGTATCTGGATGCAACCAAATTTACGCGATTTTTGTAATTTGAAAAAGAGTAGGATAAGACCCTCATCAAAATGCATTCTTACTAAAGAAATTATTCATAGAATATGAGAAAATTATATTAAATCATAATAAATTACTATTGTTTTTATTATACATCGATGGATCGATGCAACTAATTGTAATAACAATAACTTTAGTATGGTTTTTGGATCTAGAATGTTGAAATTAACTCACTTTGAACTAGGTGTAAATATTCAAAATACAAGAGTTTTTATCAAGAGCTTGTTTTTGCTGCATGCCACAAGTGAAGTATCAAAGTTCTATACAAATTACAAACCAACTAGTAAAGACACCATAACTAGATACTTCACAGTATAAGGTTGGAGATTCATTCCTTTTAGTAATTCTACACATTTTCTTTATCACAAAGGTAAATAGTTGAAATCGAATACACGCACGTGTGAAAGACTTCCATCGATAACACTAAACTATAAACATCACGAGTCGTATATATGTACTGAAAGTTAATCCTCAGAATCTGAATATGGTGGACAAGATCCATCATCTACATTGGCTAGTGGATTATACTGGGGAGAATCTGGATCAATGCATCCCGGTACTAGATCAAGATTGCAACGATCACCCTGCATTAGAATCGTGTCCCTTCTTATCAGTACTAGGTTTCTCGAATAAAAATATATAGAGAAAGATGAATCTACTTACTCCATCCACATTCAAGTTACCAACCATAGCACATCTTGTGATCAAGATACTCGAGTCCGGGAAGATTGCCCTGTCACAGGCACCCTCCTGGCTCAACTCCTGTGTAAGACCCTGCATAACAAAATAATGACATATCACTCTTCAAAAGAAACTACGAGTATTATACAATTAGGCTATGTAGTACGAATACTGCACCCTAGATGTCAAAAGTCCAGTGGCCGATAGCATCACTAGCTTAGGCTCTGATACCCTAGTACATGACAGGTAACAAGGAATCCCTTGTGAACCAGTTAGGACGACCTTGTTACATTTTTTTTCCTCGAGCACAAGAGTAACATGGATAGATGATAAAGAAATAAAGAGACCAAATTACCATCCCACAAACGACGTGGGACTCCAACAATTAAGTCCATATCAAAATCTGTATTGTAATTCATCGCGCTTGCAGCACAATTCAAGAACCAAACTTTAGGCAATTAGTGTCATATAAAGAGGTCAAAATCGTTCATAATACGAGCACCTCAGTTTGTTAACTAAAAGACTAGAACTTGAATGTTTGCTACCTCAGTGAAGAATTCAGTTGGTTTATTTCTCCAAGCCTTGGGGACTTGAAATTGTAGTCTATAGGGACCATCCCATTCGATTCCATTTGTGAATGAGAAGATCAAACTAAGAGCTGCAAACAGATGGATAAAAGGTAAAAATCGGAGGCTAAACGATTTATTCTTCTAAAATGCAACTAAGGGAAGTTTCTTAACTAAAAGCTTAAAACTTACCATGCTTGGGAATACATAACTGAATCGTATAAATAGGAGGGTCGGCTTTTCCTCTGATTTTCTCGAGCATTATCCTAGGCTCACCTCCACACATGATAGGCTGGTTAAAACCTCCTGAATTCGAATCTCAACAATTCAGCATTTTGGTTCTAATTTTAGAATGAAGACAATTGCAAATAGGAACAAAAAGAAGAACGAAACCTGTTGAATAAGTTATGTGAATTTGAAATAGACATGAACTTACCATTAAACGCGATTCCAAAATCTTCATTAGGTACCATATTGCTTGCAGCTGGATTGTAAAAAAGCTTCAGTCTCTCTCCCTGTCAAAAAAATGATAATAACAAACATTTAGGACCTCTATTACTAAGAATTCAGAAACATTATGTTATAAAAGAGATATATTCATTTTTTTGGGGATATTTGAACATACTGCAGTTGGAGGAAGACCATTCATTGTTTTCCAATATACTGGTGATATTCCAAGGTCAAATTTAGCCCATGAAGGAAGCACATATCTGTAACACCAACGTTGGCGAATGTCAAACTTATATAGTTCTATATCATGTATATATACATAGAGCAATCACTTACTGTCGTTACTATATCAGTATATATATGTTAGTTCATTGAGTCGATGCTAACAAAACTCAGTATGTCTCATTAAAAGACGGAAGACAAGAGAAGGAATGAGCTTACTCTTTGATTTCCTCTGCAGGGGAAGTTGCAACTGCCGCAGCAACTATACCCCTATGGATCCTTACTAGTTTCCTTGTAGCTGGATAATATGTTCTCAAGTGCGCGCCCATAAAACTTGTAGCTACATGTTGAATATACAGATACATTAGAGAAACGAAACCAATGAAATGGCTGAGTTCTGTTTTTTTTCGTTTTGATTTGTTCCGTATCAGCTTTGGAGCCCGATTAATTTGCACTCACTAAGTTTCTATGGGGTAATTTGTGAGTTAGATTAAATCGTTACGCAAATTAAACTATGCCACAATCCCTATTCGTTGGGATTGACTATATGAATCCTCTGTATTCATTCTACTATATTTCGATTCTTCTTCATTCCAATACAAAATTATCCAAATAACAACATATTAAAGTAAATATATGCAGATCGAGGAAAAAATAAATAGACAAGGCAACAAGGTGCACAAAACATCTCGCGTTAGCCGAGTCTGGGGAAGGACTAGAATCGCTCCTAGGAGATGTGATGTAGACAGTCTATCCTAATTACAAGTATTAGTGACTATTCTGACGGCTTAAACCCCTTGCCTATAATTCACTCAGAGACAACTTTACTGTTGCTTCGATGCTCCTTTTCTCACATATCGAGAAAAAAAAAAAGATGTTACAGAAATTGTGTATCTTACCATAAATATTTGAAACAGAGGGACTTGTATTAGTATTAGAAGCAGAACGAGTTGCAGGAAATAAAGAGGGACTTGTTGATGCTGCAGCCATTTTGGAAGCTGTAGGATGAGAAAGATAGAAATTATTCCAAATATAATAAAAATATAAGAAGGATAACATATTGTAAGGTATAAATTTGCAACCACACAAAATACAAACTTTTTTTTTCTTCTTAAATAAAAATATCTCTTAACCCCAAAACAAGACAAATCACTTCATTTTCACACTTTAGCATGAATCTTCCAACTCCCAAAAAATCTTCTATCTTAAAATCAACTTATTCAATTATCATCTAAAGACTGAGATTTAAATGCTCAGATATTTTTCATTCTAGTAATCGAGAAATACGCTATTAAAAATCTTCGAATTATAGAAAAAATTCAGAGAGAAGAATAAGGAGAACAAACACAATTGCACCCATACTGGTGATTTTCCAAGGTCAAATTTAAAATTGACATAATATTTCACTTAAGATATCTTAATTAGACGATGTTCATTTAGATATCTCATTTAGAGTTTAGGGTTTTGTAGTGTTATTTTAACACTTTTTTTTATATCAGAAAAAATATATAATATGTATTACATTCGCGAATAACGTATCAGCAAAAATATATAATATTTTGACACTTTTTTAATATCATATCAAATTTTTGATATCGTGATATTGGTATTATTATATTTGATATGGTATATGATATACATTTTATTTTTTTGGGTATTTGATACGATATATGATATTTAGAAATATATCAATATATCAAATATCATATCGAAGCATAGAGTTACATAATTAATATATATATAGAGTTGAGTGATTTTATTGATACAAAATAAAGTCCAATAACTTTACTAGTTAAAATCTTAAAATTGATTAGTAACCTTTTGAGATATTAACTCGTTTGTTCATGAATCTAATGTCAAATTACAGAAGAATTGATTCGAGAGTGAGTACAATAAGTATATATTTCTTTGGTGCTAAATTATTACACACTTAATATATAATTTTACAAGTAGTGTGCAGAAGATTTGGCAATAATCTTCAAAATAGTAGAATTTAACCCAAACTGAATCAAATTATGTGCAATCTATACCATGTCATCAGGTTGAGCATAAACCTATACAAATATGCTTAGAGAAAAATGGTGAATGTAATAGAAAATAAACTTAGCAGAAAACTCGCGAACACGATATTTGAGGAAGATGAAGGAGGTGGGATGCTTCCTGCTGGAGTATTTGAGGCTGAGGAATTTGAACTTGTAACTTTAATGGCCATTTTTTGACCAGCTAAACAGTGCTCACCAACAGTGCAAATATAATAATGATCACCAAGAGTTTTAACTGTTATTTTTGCAGGCCCTTTCTTGATTGCTTCACCTATAGAATTTTGTGTACTGCATTCTTCATATGAACTTCTTGATACTTCTTGTACATCATGGTTTCCTTGCGTAAATTTGAATACTGGTCAAGAATTCATCGTAAAATGTTAGCCAAAAGTTTTATAATTCAATTCTACTGTCAAAACTGACAATTGAAAGCGGACGATGGTAGTATATTATAATATTCTCTCCGTTTAAAAAAGAATGACTATATTTCCTCTTTAGTCTGTTTAAAAAAGAATGATTCCTTTCCATTTTTTGATAATATTTTAATTTTAATTTTCCACGTGATATACTTAACACCATAAAATTAAAGAACATTTTAGTATATTTGACATAACTTTAATTCTTCTTTATTTTTTTGTGAAGCATATTTCTTAAAGTTCAAAATAATTACAAATGGTGATTCTAAGACTTCTTTTTTTGAATTTATACCACTAGACTATATGTAGCGGCATTTTATTAATAATATAATTAAAAAAAAAACTTAACAGAGATGGAAGTCAATTCTATTGAGGTAAGAAATCTCTATTAATTAACGCGCATAAAAAAAAAGATGAAAAGAATTAAGTAATTTATAATTATCACAAAATTTATAATACACTTTATAATAATATTACAAATTAGCATGTTAAGTACTATAGAAGTATAAAAGCCATGATGAGATGTGAGTAATTAAACTCAAACTTAGTTTTGCAAATATTAATTAAACTCAAACTTAGTTTTGCAAATATTAGAGAGTTCATAGTTTTAATGTTAAGATTTTTTTTTTCGTATAAGGAATTTCTAGACCACTGTTTAGTATACATAAATGGATTTTACGGATTAAGTATGAATCAGATACGAGATTTTTTGTCTAAATGGGTTAAATTTAATATTTTTATTTTTGTGGCTCTGAAAATTAGATGTCACATTATTAAAAAGTGGTCGAATGTATCATTTTTTTAAATAAGTGATCTTTTAAGTGAATTAACAAAAAATTAGCACCATTCTAATACATGACAAAGAAAATTAACACTTTGGTGGTAAGTACTGTTTCTGTCCTTTATCCTTAATCAAGAGGTTTTGGGTTCGAGTCCTCTTGTATACGATGTCGTCTTTGTTAAGAAATATTTTATTTTCAATGTAAAATTTTTCGTCATGATTTCAATTTTAACCGGACTCCAATGTAGGTATACCAAGACGCCCGGTGAGAAATCGAAAATAAAAAAAACTAAAAGATACGTGATCTTTTAAATCAAAAGAAGGGATGATTTTGTTAACTTATTTACTTTAAAATTAAATGTGCATGTTTGACGTATTTTTTTGTTCATCTCGAAATGCATTCTTCCCTTTATTTTATAAAGTAATTTTTCAATTCCAACTTTCCACCATCCATTTAAACAATATTTTGATAATTATCTTTTATTTAAACCATAAAATATAAAAACAATCAAATTAATTAAAACAGAAAGAATACCTAAAGTGTCACCAATTTTGATTGAATTTGCATCAGCCCACATCGCATAAGCTGCAGCACCATTAATTGGTATAGACCAACCAAAGCTATCCCCAACTATATGTTCTGTTTGTGCTATTGTGATTTGTAGTAAAATTGCTATAATTAAAGCACCACAAACAATTTTCTCCATCTTCTCTATCTTTTTTATTTTTTTTTAAAATAAAAATATTTGTGATAGAAAATGCTCTAGTTTTTTGCAACCAAAAAAAAGAAAGAAAAGATTGTAGGTTACTAGAGATATCCTATCTGAGACCTATGCTTATTTGTTATGAAAAAAATTGCTATATATATGTATAATAAAAGAATTTTTAATTGGTCTTAACTTGATGTTAAAGGAAATCCACTCCATTTGCAGCAAGTGCGCACAGCCACTACTTTCCATCTACAACAAATGATTTTATCGTTCGAAAGTCAAACAATTTAAGTTTGACAGAAATTCATACATGAGATTTTTAAATTTTATGAAATGAAATTTATATATTCATAAACTACGTAAGAAAATATTATAAATCACAATAATTGATAATTTCAAATATTTAAAAGATACATAAAAAATTTACAATCAAAGAATTTGAACAGGTGATTCAAAATAAAAGAAATATAGGCTTGATAGTTGATCATACAAACCTGGACTCCATATAAAATAGAACAATTTTTTAAGCTACACTTACATTGGACAATAGATATCAACTATGAGAACCAAACACAAACTCAACAACTAGTTCAAACATAAAAACCCTGCATATAATGTTTTCACCAGCTTAACAACTAACTGAAATTGTAACAACCCATTTAGTCGGTTTGAGCATTAGAAATTTTTATGTTAGAAAATATTTTCCGATAGATTTAAGTGGGTGTTTTGGACTATTCATAATTATAATTATGAAATTAGTGGGGTAGTTTTACTAATTTATTTAGTTAATGGTTAAGAAATAATATTATAATTAATAGTGAGTCATTTTTATCACTACTATAATTATATGAGTATAATAATTAGGGTAACAAATAATTTGTAAAGAAAAGAAAGAGGGTTTGAATAAGAAAAATAGAAAGAACAAGGAGAGGGAAAGAGAACGATCGAGAGAAGAGGGAAACGAAGAGGAAACAAAGCTTTGGAAAATTGCTTGCTTGATCACGAATCTTCGGTGGAGGTAGGTTATGGTTTTTATGCTATTCGTAGTAGACTCTTAATAGCGAATGATATGTGTTGGGTAGTATTATAAAACCTTCTATATGCTTAAATGTGTGCTTACATGATGTGATTATATAATTGTGATGAATAAGCATGATGAGTCTATTGAATCTCTAATCCTAAATTTACCTTGTTAATGATGATGCCTTGGTATAAAAGAAGGCTTGATGAATTAATAGAATGAGATTAGGGGAGCGGGTGTCACGAACCGACACGTAGAATTAGGGGATCGGGTGTCACGAACCGACACGTAGAATTAGGGGATCGGGTGTCACGAACTGACACGTAGAATTAGAGGATCGGGTGTCACGAACCGACACGTAGAATTAGGGGATCGGATGTCACGAACCGACACGTAGAATTAGGGGATCGGGTGTCACGAACCGACACGTAGAATTAGGGGATCGGGTGTCACGAATCGACACGTAGAATTAGGGGATCGTAGTGTCATGTTCCGGCACATAGTAGTAAGGGAGCGGAGTGTCACGTACCGACACAAGAGGAATAAAGATAATGAATCTTGAAATTATGTTAATAAATTCGAATGAAAAGAACCTATATCCCAAATGAGTATGGTGTGGAGACTTGAGTTCTCATAGGCGTGTTTGATGTGGTTACACATGATTTGTGAACTTGTTGCTTTCACCTGTTGAGGAATATGGTTGATTTTATGTTATTATCTGATATATAGTGTTTTCTATTTTGAGTTGGCCGATGATATCTACTCAGTACTTGTGGTTGTACTGACCCCTACTTGTAATTGTTTTTCTTTATTATTTGTGGAGTGCAGCAAACGTACCCGTCATCTTCAACTCAACCGCAACTCTAGCCAGTTTTCGTCACACCAGATTTCAGGGTGAGCTAAAGCTTCTAGCTTGGACTGGATCTTCTTCTTCATGTCTTGATGCCTTGAAGTTCTTGCATAGACTAGCTATTATTTATGTTTAGTTTCTTAGATACTCTTAGCTTTAGTTATTTGAGGATAGATGTTCTTGTGATGATGACTTCCAGAATTTGGGGATAATAACAAGTGTTTGAGTTTTAGAAGTTATTAATCTATTTTTATTAATGAGTTTTAAGTCTTCCACATTGTATTATGTCTATTATGGTTAAAATGTTAGGGTTTGGATTGGTTGGTTCACTCACCTAGGTAGTTAAGTGTGGATGCCACTCACGACTCGTTTTGGGTCGTGACAAACTTGGTA